TTAACTGTTTTTACTTTGTATTTTTTCTTTTTCTTTTTTCTTTTTGTAATATTTTGAAAACCTTAATAAAAATTTTAAAAAAAAAGATTCATTTTGATCTGCATAATTTTTACAAGTTGCAAAATTTAGTTTTTCCTAAGGTGGCCCAGAACTTTCAGTTGTTTTTTAAACCACAGGTCAAGGTTTATAGTGGTTCCTGGCTAAGGGTTTGACCAATTGCTGAAAGGGGGCAGTTTGGGCTGAACTGCCCTCAAAGCCTCTCATCTGACTCCAGGAGCCATTGAGCATCAAACCTAATGTCCTTATTCTTTCTTTAGCATGGAAAAGGCTGCTGTGGCCCATCCTGGGTCCTTATTTCCTTTGTTGAACAAGTTTCTGTTTGCAAAGGCATAAAGAGTCCACCACAACTTTTTTTTATAAAAGGTATCTTGTTGATTCAGTGCCCATAGCTGTGTCTTCTTCAGCTGCTAACTCTTTGGGATTTGAGCTGCCTGGGACTTAGGCTTCACCTCCATGGGTTAACAAGGAGGAAAGCACAATGAACATTCGTAACTCCCATTAGAGTTAATTTAATCCCATCATTGTTTAGATTGGATGCTGCAATGAGGTCACAAATGAGCTGAAGTTCTCTGGTGGCTTCTGATCTGTGGCGTGTGACCCTTCTGGTCTGGGGTGTAGGAAGCACCTGTTTGCACATGGCAGTAAGTAACCACTCAGCTGTGGCCCACCTTTCTGCTACCTGTGCTGTAGCCAGTTCTGATTCTGATTGAACATTTGGACAGCTAGCATTTAATGAGCTCCCAATAAAGGCAGTGTTTCTGACTCCTGCAGCTGAGTCCAGTGAGCAAAAGCAGGTCCTGTTGGAGCCCATACCTACTACTCATGCTATCTGTGTAAGACTTTGGAGCAGAAGTCCACTCAGCCACATTGTGATGGTGGGGGATTGAAACAGCACTGACTCATCACAATTTAAAGTAGAATGAACTAAGACATATTGCCATCCGAAAAGCCCCCACCTCATAAGCCCTTTAAAGCCCAGACTCTGAAATGGCCTAACTACAGCACTTTTCTTATGTTTAGTTAGAATCTCCTTGTAACTGGAATACATTGGTTCAAGTCCTACCCTCCAAGCAGGAGAAAACAAGCTTGCTCCATCTTCCATGTGACAGTCCTTAAGATACAGTGGTACCTCGCAAGACGAATGCCTCGCAAGACGGAAAACTCGTAAGACGAAAGGGTTTTTGGTTTTTTGAGTTGCTTCGCAAGACGAATTTCCCTATGGACTTGCTTCGCAAGACAGAAACGTCTTGCAAGTTTGTTTCCTTTTTCTTAAAACCATTAATACAGTTGCAACTTGACTTCGAGGAGCAACTCATAGCACGCGGTGTGGTAGCCTTTTTTGAGGTTTTTGAAGACTTTGGTGATTTTTGAAGCTTTTCCAAAACTTTTCCGAAACCGTGCTTCGCAAGACGAAAAATTCGCAAGACGGAAAAACTCGCAGAACGAATTAATGAGGCACCACTGTAATTGAAGATGGGGTCTCTCAGTCTCCACTCCTCTCAGTCTCCACTTTTCCAGGCTAAACCTATACAGTTCCTTCAACTGTTCCTTTTAAGACTTGATTTCCAGACCCTTGATCATCTTGGTCACCCTCCTCTGCACACATTCCAACTTCTTAAACCTTGGTGCCCAAAACTGGACAAAGGACTCCAAATTTGGTCTGACCAACACAGACTCTTGACCTGTGTTGGTGCAGCAGAACTTTATATTTACCCTTTTTGAAATTCATTTTGTTAGTTTGGGCCCGACACTCCAATCTGTTGGTTATCTCGAATCCTAATTATGTCTTTTGGGCATTAGCTACTCTTCCCAGTTTGGTGTCACCTGCAAATTTGATGACCGTCTCCTCAATTCCTTCACCCGTTGTTTATAAAGACGTTGAATAACAATGGGCCCAGGACAGAACCCTGCCAAGCCCCACAGAATCACAGATTTGTGGGGTTGGAAGGGACCACAAAGTAATTAGTCCAGCCCCTTGCAATGCAGGACTTTCACCCAACATGGGACTCACACCCATGACCTTTGTCCCTTTTTTTCAGGATGGTGAGGAACCATTAATGAGCACTCTTTGAGTTCAGTCAGTCAACCAGTTACAAATCCACCTAACACTTACCTGGTCCAGCACACATTTTACCACCCCCGCATAAATATCATGGAAGACATGATGTCAAAAGCCTTGCTGAAATCCAGATACAGTGGTACCTCGGGTTAAGTACTTAATTCATTCCAGAGGTCCGTTCTTAACCTGAAGCTGTTCTTAACCTGAAGCACCACTTTAGCTAATGGGGCCTTCTGCTGCCGCCGCGCCGCCAGAGCAAAATTTCTGTTCGCATCCTGAAGCAAAGTTCTTAACCTGAAGCACTATTTCTGGGTTATAGGAGTCTGTAACCTGAAGCGTCTGTAACCTGAAGCGTATGTAACCTGAGGTACCACTGTACACTATGTCCACAGCATTCCCCAGTGAGAGGAACAGAAGCCTCCTGAACTCTCAGCACCCTTATCAAATTACAGCTCCCAGAATTCTCTGGGGGATGCAATGACTGTTTCTAGTGGATTCATTGCAATTTAAATGTATGGCTTGAATGTGGCAAAAGAGAGCTATCGAACTTTTGGCCTACCTAGTCCCTCTCCCCATTTTAAACTTTTCTTTTAACTTCCTTTCAATAATATCCGAACGGTAAGTTTATATTTAAAGAACAATGAAAGAAACAGGAAATGATTGTTTTTCAATAAATGTTGGGAAAAGATGAGTTGAAGATCTTTTTTAGATTTTAAAATAAGAAATTGGGTAGATTCATGATAATATTCTGTACATGCTTGAAATGGGATAGGGTGAATCAGGTATAATGCTATTTTTAATGTCCTTTTTGTCACTTTAGGTGCTGATGCTTAGCTTAACATGGTTCTTTGTGGGCTCACACCAGTCACTAGACCACCTGGTTCCTTGCTGCTACTCTACACCAGCATTTCTCCACCTGTGGGTCATTGGACTACAACTCCCATCATCCCTGAGCTCTGGCCTTGCTAGCTAGGGGTGATGGGAGTTGTAGTTCAACAACATCTGGGGACCCACAGGTGGAGAAAGGCTGCTCTACACCTAGACTAGCCAGATGTTGCAACTCTCATCAGCCCCAGTTAGTATGGCCAGTGATCAGGGATGGTGAGAACAGAGGAGCCCCACAACATCCGGATGGCCTCAGGTTGGCAAAGGCAGCTCTACACTGGCTGGCAGAGGGGTTTTTAGGGTGTCAGACAGAGCATTCCCCAGCCCTCTCTGGGGATTTGCCCATAGAACTTGCTACTGTCTTCCCCACTGGACCCTCTACTGAGACTTGATCCATGGGAGGCTACAACAGCAGCAGCAGCACTACCACCACATGAAAGTTTGATAAAAACAATTTAAGAATGTGCAGCATATCCAAGCATGGAGGTGGAGTGAAGAGAACAGCTTCAGTCTTTGTTTTTATTTATTTATTTTAAAAAAATATTTATGTATCGCTCAGGGACGCGGACTTATAAAAAATATTGGGGGGGCCCGGGAAAGCTCATGAATAATAAATAAGCTCATGAATATGCAAATAAAGTGGTGCCGCCTCCTCGTGAGCGAATAGGGGAGAGCGTGCTGTGCCTATTAATCAGCTCCGGAGCGGAAATTGGGTGGAGCTTTTGCTCGGGAGGGAGGGCAGGAGGCATGCAGCCCGCCCCTCCCTGTGCATTTTGGGCTGGGGAAGGGGCGGCGATGGCGCTCTGCTGGAGGGGCGCCGGAGATTATTGGGGGGGCAGAGCCCCCCCAAATGAATTTTTGAGGGGGCTCGGGCCCCCTCAAGCCCCATGGAGTCGGCGCCTATGGTATCGCTGTATCATAAAAATACAACACAGTGGTTTACAACAATACGAAAACACAAAACCAGACGGTAAAGTCATAGAGAGTTAAAAGCAAAAACCAAGGAACGAATGGCCGCATGGGAGAAGTTGTGGAATGTGGACATGTTTACAACATGTTATACATTGAAGGAAAACTACACGAAAATGATGTACAGGTGGTATTTAACTCCTAGTAGATTGGCAAAAATGTATAAATCAAAACCAAATACGTGCTGGAAATGTAAAGAAAAAGAAGGTACTTTCTACCATATGTGATGGTGAGTAAAGAGTAAAAGTTTTCTGGGAAATGATTTCTAACAAATTGAATAAGATGTTTAAGATCTTTTAACAAAAAACAGAAGCTTTTCTTTTAGGAATAGGAGGTAGTAAGATACCAAAAGATCTAAAAAAAAGATTATGTATGATGCAACTGCAGCCAGAATGGTTTTTGCCCAGAGATGGAAAGAAGATGTAGTACCAACTAAGGAAGAGTGGCTAATAAAATTAATGAATTATGCCGAAATGGCAAATTAATAGGTGTAATAAGAAACCAAGAAAAAGAAGAAATTATTAAAGATTGGGGAAAATTTGTGGAATATTTGAAATATTCATGTGCTCATTAGCAGGGCTAAGGTAAAACTAGCAGTTAAAACAAATTATTATGAGAAACTAAGGAATAACAAAGATGGAGTCCTACGGAAAATACAGTATGAAAATTAAAATTTAAAAGAAACCACAAAAGGGGGAAAGTCAAATATATGCATATGTGATTTGTGTTTTTGTTATTTGCATGTTTGTAATTTTTTTGAAAAATCGAAATAAAATGTGTGTGTGTGTGTGTGTGTGTGTGTATAAAAGAAATAAGAAACGAAACTAGCAGACCATTGCGAGGCTGTACTCTTATTTGCCTGCATAGGCCTGGCGAAACAAAAAGTAATCAGAGCAGGAGTTTAAGATGTGGCTGATAAAAGGGCGCAGACTCCCCTCTCCCCATCATCCTCTAAGGCCGTAGCGGAGGGCGCCTCCTTGCACGCTGCTCTTTAGCAATGCCCAGCACATGACTCTCTCTGCCCCTCCAGTCCATGTGATCCAGTCTCCGTTTTCCCTTTGCTCCAGAGCAGGGTGGCGAGTGGACAGCGAGTCTGTCCAGCAGCCTGTTTGAAGCAAAGCATGGAGTCGGCAAGCGCCTCGGCATTCCGGAGCATGGCCACTTGAACCTGGGGCGTCGGGGGCAAGCTTGACCAGGACCCATCCTTGAGGCTACCTTCGCCTTGTGGGGACCACAAGGCGCTCGCCGGCCAGCCGGCCATGGACTCCCGGCTGCTGCTGCTTCTGCTGCCCATCTCCCTCTCCCTTTGGTTTTGCGGTAAGTAACTCTTGAGCCGGCGTCTCTCCCCCACTTTCACGGGACTGGCTCCGATTTTTTGCGCCTTCGGCGGAGTGCCGAATTCAGGAGCCGCAGTTTGCTTTAAGCCTCCTGTGCAGAGAGCTCGTCTTCAAGAGCACGTGCGCGGGCTATTTTGAAGCTGCAGACGGCGTAAAACAAACAGACAAACAAAAGCAAACAAGCCCAACACTGTAATAATGTTTTCCCTTCGCTCTGGACGTGAAAGCAAGAGTTCGGCCACTTTATTCTTTTGCAAAGCTTTGTGTCCTGTAGAGCTGGTGGGTAGGGACAACGCTGTAAAGAAGAGCAGGGCGAGGAAGTTCCCTAGGTGGGCGTCATCCGCAGGTGGCTTCCCGCACAAAAGGCCCCGATTCCCGGCTTTCTAAGACGTGGTTCCCGTGAGGAATCTCTGTGTGCGATCGCGCCCACTTTTGCGGGGCAGCTGATGCTCCGCAAATGCACATAGTTTAGAGCGGGTGGCCAGAGAGAGAGAGAGAGAGGGTTGAGAACAAACCCAACTTCTTGGACTCCTTTGGAGAGTTGCAAGATTATCTCAGAAATTTATCCCGTTTTTCAGAAGGGGGGACTGGGAACGTTCTCCTTTTCTTTGTCTGCCTCCCGGGGAGGCGGGTTAGGAGGCAAAGAGGAGCTACATCAGAACAGGGAAAGTCCGTGTGTGTTCAGAGGAGCCTTCTCCTCTTCCTCGCTCTCCAACTTGCGGCTCCCAGCCTGGGCAGGGCTGCCCTTTTCTCAGTCCTGACCAAGGCAGGAGCCGAAAGGAAAACGTTTGCACCCAGTAATTCCCCTCTTTTTCTCCTGGACCGACTTCTTTGTCTGGCTCCTGGCATTCCGTTGGTTCCTGGGACGCAACCGGGCTGCTTTTGTGTCCAGTAACCATGGCTACAGAGAGAGCGTGTGAAGTAACGATGGGGGCTTTTGTGTGGCTGCAGAGAGCAGGCCCCATGGCGCGCGGGGCTACTCCTCGATGAGCCAGAGTGCGGTCGTGGGGCGATCTTTCTTTGGGACAACAGCTTGGAGGAGGCTGTTCTTCCTTATCCTTTCTTGGTTTAGAGAGATCGCAAGGGCGGGCATGCCGCTTCAAAGCTGCTATCTGGCATTCAGGGAGCCCTGCTAACTGTATAAATCTCCAGACCAAGCCAACTAGCAGAGGGGGCTCTGCCAGCACGATTCACTGCTTGAGAGGGAGAATTCCAAACCTTCCAACGACCCTGTAATTACATGTAGGCATTTGGCACAGCCCCCATTTCACAGAGCAGGAAAACTGAGACACCTGCAGGCCAAGTGAAAGGCTCATAGCTGCAGTGTGTCCAGGACCTGCTCTGGGCAATTGTAATATTGCAGGTCTAATTTTTCTACCCTGGTGAAAATGGAATGTATGAGCTGATTGATCTGCTCAAGCCAATACCTAAGGCCTGCCTCCTGTAACCATGGGTGAATATCAGACACAGGGCCTTTTCAGTAGTGGCTCCACAGCTGTAGAAATCCCTCCCAGCAGGACACCCAGCAGGCCCTTTCTCTTCCTATCTTTAGATGGGCTGTTGAGACTTTCTTACTTAAGCATTATTTTTTTTATTTAAAAAAATGTTTTGCTTGCCTTGTGATATTTCCGGTACTGTGAAGTTTGATTAGAACAGCTATGTTATCAATTTGTTTTAAATGATTTGTGGCCTTTAAAAAGTAGTTGTGCACCAGTTTGTGTGTGTGTAGAGCAGCAGTTCACAAATGATATGAAATAAATTATTATTAATTACATTTGTATCCCACCTTTTCTTTAAGGAGCTGAAGGTGGCTTACATAGTTCTCCTCCCCTTTTTATCCCCACAACAACCCTGTGAGGTGGGTTGGGCTTGAGAGTAAGTGGTCACCCTGTGAGTTTAATGGCTGAGTGGGGATTTGAACCCCGATCTCTCAGAGCACACCCAACACTCTAGCTGCTACTCCATACGGTGTGTTGCCTGCCAATGTCAGCCAGCCTTGTTCAGTTCGCATGCTTGGTTTGAAGTTGCCCTAAGCATGCTTCCATTGGGAGTGGGGGTTGGTTGTGAGTGGGAAAGTGTTCTGATGTGTTGGTGTAGTAGCAGATCTCACCCTTGTGAGCTTCAGGGCAGAACCCCCGTGCAATGACATTAGAGCCCATCTCTTCCACTGGGTGCTTAGCCTCTGCCTACGGTGCCACTGAGGCAAATCTCAAATCTCCCACTTTTGAGTAGCAGATGCCTGGAAGTTTTTCAGATAGCCCCATCAGCATACCATTTGTGGGGAGGGGATGCTCTTGAGGATCATGGGGCAGAGTTCAGAGGGCAGAAGGGGGCAGTGAGGATGGATCTAGACACATAATAATAATAATAATAATAATAATAATAATAATAATAATTTATTATTTATACCCTGCCCATCTGGCTGTGTTTCCCCAGCCACTCTGGGCGGCTTCCAATCAAGTGTTAAAAACAATACAGCATTAAATATTTAAAACTTCCATAAACAGGGCTGCCTTCAGGTGTCTGTTCAGAACACAACAGAGAAGCGTTTCAGCTAAACACTTTGTAAACTTTGTATGAGAAATCAGGTTGGCAAAAACAGAACTCCACAGCGCCCTCTGTGTCACAACAGATATAGAGTGCTTTTTCTTTGCCAGTGTAGCTGAGTCCTGAGTCACAGGCAGTATTGCACCATTTAGTTTGCTCTTGACTATGCACTTGAGTGGGGGACTGGGAATCTCTGCCTTTTCCATTCAACCTAGAATGGAAGGAGGAGGAGGAGGAGGAGGAGAATAAGAATCGTGCTTCGTATCCTGGCTTGAGGCAAATCTGGCTCTGTCTGTCCTGGTGTCATGTAGACACCTGGAGTGCAGCTCAGACGTGCCCCAGCCATAGTGTTCTGTCCTCCTCTCTTAAGTGGCTGATTTGCCTGCCTTAGCTGCTGGCGTATTTAGATTGGATTTGGAATTAAGGCTTGAGAGCCAGCGTGCCTCACCAGAACACACAAGAACTCCCCCCCCCCGCCTTGATCCCATCCCCCTGTTTGATATGTAGCAGCAGCAGCAGCAGCAGCGAGATCAGAGGAGGTGGGAAGCATGAAGGTCACCCTTGAGGAGTGTTTACAAAGGGGGTATTCTGCAGGGGGAGCAGGGCTACAATGGGAAGTGGCAGATCAAAGAGCTTCTGGGGCAGGGGAGGCAAGACAACCATAAAACCAGCATGGATTTATGGGTCTTGTATGGCCCCCTCCTCGAAACCTGATAATAGGAGCAGTTTCATCTCAGAGGCTGTATGAAAATGGTAGGTGGATAATAAGATGCACACCTGGCCGGTCCTCTATTCAGGGAACATCTTAATGGCACGGTGAATATTTAATGCATACATTTTGGCACCGGCAGCCCCTGCAGAGGCAGAAGAAGAGCCTGAAATAGGCAGCTGTGTCTGCAGGTGCTTCCAGGCAAGAGGGTTTTTCAGGTGGGGTGGGGGTGAAGTCAACCATTTGTCAGGGGAGCAGTTCAGATGTACCCCTGACACCTGCAAACCGCATCAGGGACACTTCATAGTCCATGCAAGTTCTGTAGGTGGCTGAGTCATTGAGTTCACATGTGCAAACAAACATAGGCTGTCTTGCACCTCTCATTCTATCTTTCCTGTCACAATGCTTCTGTCTTATCAGTGAGTCACACAACTGGAGAAGAGTGCACATTTTTAAAGGGAAACTCAAGCACTAACACCAGCCTCCTCCTCCACATCGAAGGGGAACTTTACCATTTGGTATTGGTTTCACTAACCTGACATGTACAGTGGTACCTCGGGTTACAGACGCTTCAGGTTACAGACTCTGCTAACCCAGAAATAGTACCTCAGGTTAAGAACTTTGCTTCAGGATGAGAACAGAAATCACGCAGCGGCAGCAGGAGGCCCCATTAGCTAAAGTGGTGCTTCAGATTAAGAACAGTTTCAGGTTAAGAACGGACCTCCGGAACGAATTAAGTTCTTAACCCAAGGTACCACTGTAGTTGGGAGCAATTACGAAAGTATGTATCATATACTGTACCCACCATTGCAGCCTGTTTTAATGTACCCCCCCTCTCCTGACTCCAGTGAGATTTTCACTGCTTTTTTGTGGTTATGACCTGTGGCTTGCTTGAGGAACCAAACGGACATTGTGTCTTCCTGGAACATCCCCAACTCAAAAGCCACGCATCTCCTTCTCATAAGTGTGGAGCAAACATGTGGCCGCTCCTCAGTGATGGATAGTTTGCATTCACTGCTCTTGTTCTAGGACTAAGCCCTGGAATTGCATTGATACCCTGATTCAAATAGAATCCTAGAAAATAAAAATAAACTTATTGTGCTGCATGCATGGGACAGGAGAGGGGAGGAAGGCCTGTCTGTCTGTATTTAGAAAGTTTCTTACCTGTCCTTCATCAAAAGGTTAGAGGGTGGGTTACAATTGTACAGTGTGCAGTTATAAAAACAGTTAAAACCAAATGGAACAGAACAGTAGAAATTCTGTAAAAGAGGCAGGTCCCATATAATAAAATAGAAACCTTCTGTCAATGGCCAGGGTAAAGAGATGTGTCTCCAGCATACAGCAAAACCTATAAAACACACCTCTGTGGGGAGGGAGTCCCCCAGTTAGGAGCTTTGATGAACATGTCTCCTTCCCTGACCATTTGGGTCTGAATTGAAGGAATGTGGTAGAACATGCCTCCTCCTCCTTCCTGATCCAGCTCTAAGTCACTTCCTCACTCTGCCCTGGCACCTGTTCCTGAGTGCAGATGACACCAAGAGAGGGATAGAGAAGGGCTAAGCGTGCCAACTGCCCAGGGTGAATCCAAGTGAAGCAGGTCAAGGAGGCACCATGTCCAGCTGCAAATGAAGTCACTCTCACTGATCACACAGTTGCCAAAATCCATACACTCTTCCGCAGAAGCGCTTCCCCCTCCTGTCTACTGATCCTTTGCCTGAGTAAAT